TTTCATCTAGTGGTGCGGGCAGATCTTCTCAAAGAAAGAGCTTGCCTTCACCAGCTTGATGAATTTGCCGAAATCTCTGCCTAGTGCTTGGTTGATCGCCACCGTCGGTGAGGGAGCGAGCCTCATCCGACAACGCGGCTGAATCTTTCGGCAGTAGAAGAGATGCGTCGGTGCCTTACGCCGACCGCAAGCGCATTTAATACACGCATCATCATGACGGAATCTTTCGTGGTAGTCAGCAAAATCACCATGATGAGTTCTCGCGGCAAGGAGGTGGTGAAGGATTGTTCTTGGGAGAGCTAACTCCGGAGGGCAGCTAGAAGGGAACTTGAGGGTCAGACCCTGATACTTATCGGGTGCAGAGGCATCCCACCAGGCTTGTACTGCGATCTTGGACCGCTGCCTAGCGGTCTTAGCAATTACTACGGCGGCTTATTAATCACTATAGGGTCGCCCTGCCGGGACCGTAACAGGACGGGGAGCGAGCGATATACCGGTAGCTGTTGTACCTTTTGCAGCTTTCCTGACAAGGGGGTCGTGAAATGTGGAGGAGACTGAATAAATTGTTTATGTGTGTTGCACTGTTCACATGCGGACATAATACAGAACCAAGCCCCTCTGACAAGAATGTAGGGAATGGCCATTCAACAAGTGCAACACGGGGACCTAGTTGTAAGCTGAGATGTGGCCGAAGTTGATGCGTCATTGCGTTGGGTCGAGGCTGACTTTCCGCGACCTGCCGTTGCTCGCTAGCATGCCCGTGTAGCAATTCCCCATGAAATAAGGCTCTTACGCCTTTGATTCCCGATTCTAGAGAGCCTTGGTCAGCTGGCCAACTACCTAGGAACGCATCACTTGACATGGAATACACCGAATGTCACCTCGACATGGGCTGAACTCCACCGATGCAGTCGCCAATGAACGAGACATCGAATGGCGTTTTGTACTACCGAGTACATCGGCGAGTGTCGGAATTATTTTAGAATGGACTCGTCAGCAGACAGAAACCCAACTTTGTTACACGCACAAAGAAAAGAAGCACGACGCGCGAAGGCCGTTTCCCTTCTGTTCAATCACGGCTGTGACAGCCTGTCGTCATATTTCCAAGCAGGACAAGCAGCCGACACGCCAACAAGATAAAACAACAATAACACATTTCGGGCGAACTTGGACAATGCCAGGTAAGCAACCAGGTGCGCAGCGTCGGCGTCGATGGGCCCCCAAGGTGAAAACAGGCTGCCTGACTTGTCGGTACGTGCTGCTCCCAGGTCTTCCATGACATGGTACGTGTTATCATCGTGGTAACAATCCATCCCCAGCTCCCGTCGCGTCAAATGCGATGAGAATCGACCATCCTGCACACGCTGCACGTCCGCCCGTCGTCGATGCGAGGGATACGACCGGAATCCATGGTCCACGTCCGCCGCCGCGTTCCATCGGCAGCCCACGAACGGCATGACGCCAATTTATGCGCAGGCAACGCCACAAGAGAAGCACTTGTTCCATGTGTTTTGCGCCGAGACTGCCGGTCAAGTTTCTGCTGGATTCGATAGCACGTTTTGGTCCGTCGATGTCCCGCAAGCCTGTCAACTACATCCCGCCATCTGGCATTCCGCCCTCGCAATCGCTTCCGCGCAAATGACACAAATGACATGGACCATGGGCGGCTCGTCGACGCAACACCACGACGACGTAGGCTTCAAGCAGTACACCAAAGCCATTGGCCACCTTGTCCAGGCGACCCAAAAGACGGACCCCAGTTTTGATGAGCAGTCGCTCATCTTGATGGCCACGGTGCTCCTTTTGGGCTTCGCCAGTCTGAGAGGAAACTTCAACCAAGTCCAGTTCTTTGCCCGTCATGGCCTTGAGTTATTCGCAAAATGGGACTTTGGCGAAAGAGCAAAGCGACAGCAGCAGTCGCTGCGCAGCAACGTACTTTCCGTCAGGTCTCTCATTTCTCTGCTGGACAATCTGTTTGTCCAATATTCATGGGCGTGTCCGGCTGCAAACCCTCCAAAACACGCACAGAGTAGTCCTGCCACCACGTCGCCGAAAACGCCCTTCACGAACATCACCGAGGCATACCACGAGTACCAGGCATTGCAAATCGCCCATCTTGAGGCGCTGCGCGCACAAGCACTTGGCTCTACGAACGGAGATTGGCAGCCGTTTCGAGATATTCGCCAGGCCTGGCTGCGCAGATTGTCGGCTTGCAAGGCCAAACTCCTCCAGGCCCGGCGAGAGGGTGGGCACGAGTCGAAGTCGTGGCTGATGCTGCAAGTGGGATTACTCGGCTTACAAGTATGTTTCCAAGGCAAGGCTATTGCGAACGAGCTATACTGGGACAAGCTCATCCCCAAGCTCAGACGCATTGTCGATATTGCGGAGCAAGTATTTGAGAGGCCAAAAACCCATGCAGAACGAGTGCCCGCCGCCGTGTTTCACTTTGCCCCTTCGCCACTGGGGATATTGTACATGGTTGCATCGGCCTGCCGGGAGTATGCGACGCGCACGAGGGCCATAGCTCTGCTGCGAAGAATGCAACAGAGAGACGGCCTGTTGGATAGCGGGCTTTTTGCATGCCTTTCCGAGGCCAAGATGCGGATCGAGGCGACGGGGAGGGACTTGGTTGGCTTGACGGAACCAAAGAGGTGTACTTGCATCCCTGAGGAGTACGTTTGCGGGCATCATAGAGTAAGGGATGTTGGAATAGAATTCTTGGAGAGAGGCCTGGTACGACTGAATTTTGAGTCGTTTGATGGTGGTGCACGTCCTGAGGGTATGAAATCGCTAACGGTGCATTGCAATGGGAATTGGTGCAAGAGATAGAGCATGCTAGTACCTTGCTTCAGGGTAGTTCTGTAGAGGACATGGATGTATGATAAAAATTAGAATCAAAGGAACAAAACCAAGGGTTGGTATAATGAAACCTTGAGTTTAGATGCCAATGTTAGAAACCACGATTTATAACGGCATCATACGCCCTTTCCGGTATATGTGACCATGGTCACTAGATCAAACGCACGATTCCGTCAAGCAATTTCTTTAAACCTCGAGATCTGTAGACATAGAATAGTGGCCTGCAAAATTGACTATATGCATCTTGTGTCTGTTTTTAAAGCACAACAAACTGAGAACCGCTATGGGAGAATGTAATACTATCCACAGAGCCCGGTGGTGAAATAAATAGTCTTCTACAAGGTATTCCTTTTTCTCTCACACATCAAATATCCACCATCTCAATAGCCGACAAGGCATCGCCATCTGCATCAAAATCATAGCACCAATCGCGCGTGGCTTTGTCAGATATACCCCCCAGACCACAACGCTCCGGCCCACCAGGAACAATTTGAATAGTATGCTCGACGACCTGGTTTGGGTCCATGGGCGGTTGCAAAAAGGCCCTGTCCGATTGTCGCAATGCTTCATATAGCGCCACCCTCTTGTCACCGTCCTCCACGTGAAGCGTATCGCCGGCATACAGGCTAGCCCTTTGAACAGCCAATACCCGCCTCTTACGAACCTTTTGAAACTCATGCATTACCTTTCTTAGAATCTCCTTGCCTTCACAACTTGCCAGTGTTGGAGCCGACCCGTGCGTCATGGAGTTGGCCTTGGCCTCGACGTAATTCAAGGCCGTAGCAAGGGCAGTCGCGTCTTCCACGGCGAGACTCACGCCCATGGACATATAAAAGGCCATGGCGTGCGCTGCGTCTCCCATCAAAGTGAAGCGGCCCGACGAATGCACCCATTTGGGAAGCGGCGGAACCTCGTAGACGGGATAGTTGCTAATCTTTTCACCGGACAAGTCTAACAATCTGCGAACACTAGGCCCCCCGCTGAATTAGAAGGTTTAGGGACAAGATGAAGCGGGAAAATTGACAAGGACGTACGGTGTGTCAAAGCTTCGAAACTGCTCGTCAACAGTTTGCTTGTATTGCTCCCGCGAGAAGCCTCTTGTGTCGACATCATCCCTATGGGACAAGACAATGTTGAGCATGGTCCCGCCTTTGACAAGATACGTCATGCACGATCTATGCGGCGCGATCCAAAAGTTCGAGCTTCCAGACTCCAAGCCCGTGACGCGCGCAAGCAAAGGGTCGTCTCGGACTCTGCCCATCTCCGCAGACATTCTAAACGCAGCCCATCCCGTCGGACGACTGCCGGGATCCGAAGCGCCCAGCAGCTGCTGCCGCGCAAACGAGTTGATGCCTTTTTTCCTTCCGTCAAAGCAACGTTCCCACAGGCCGAGACGGCGAACAAGTTCAAAAACGTACCGTCAGCGGCAACAACAATGTCTGCCTCGAGCCTCTCCCCCGTATGGAGCTCGACTGCGCCGGCGGCAAAGTCGTACGTGACGACTCGGGCGTCTGTCCTGATTTCTGCTCCGCCGTTGGCCGCGTGCTTGTGCAGGATGGAGTGCAATACGGCGCGGTGGACGACAATGTAGGGTGCGCCGTACCGCGCGGCCATTTGATCGACGGGTATGGTGCCGAGGAGACGGCCGTCTTGAAAGTGCCGAATGTACATGCAGTCGGGGACGATGGACTCGGCCAGCAAGTCGTCCTTGAGGCCCCATTTGAATAGATACTTGATGGCTTGCGGAGTCAATTGTATGCCGGCGCCTAGTTCTGCCAACTGCGGTGCTGACTCTACCAGTACGACTTGGTGGCTGTGTCTTGTGAGGGAAATGGCTAGGGAGAGCCCGGCGATGCCTGCGCCGACAATGATGACCTTCATGATGCTCACGCTTTGGAAGTCGACTCGCCGGTGTCGGGCAACGAGGGATGAGACGAAGGCGGTGTTGATTCCATCCCAAGATGAGGAGTCGTCGGGGTAACATTGGTGGAGGATTCAACTTGACATTACAGTTGACATGTGCGTAAAAAACGGCGTAGACCGGCATATTGAGGAGCCAATAGTTGCATCTGGCCATCGACATTTTTTTCCGTCCTGATCGGGTTGCGCCGATAAGGCGTGCAGACTTGACAGCGAGGGGTCATCAAATAAGTCGAGCCTGGTCCGGTTCGATCCCGTCAACGTCGCTCAACGGCAAGCAAACTAGCACTGGGGCAATAAAAAACGTCGCAGCATTTTATAAATTATCATTTAGCCGTTAATATGATTTTCAGTAATATAGAATTATATCAACTTTATTTTCAACTATCCTAGCATTTATGTTTTATTAAGCTTTCTCGGCTGTCCCGTATCGTAGTCGTTATTTGAGCTCAACTTCAAATGTCATGTATTGGGGTTAGGGTTAATACAAGACCGAGTCGAATACTTACAACCACATATGTAAGTGGCTCGTCGACTTAGCCACTGACGGGTGCTGATAACTTACAGAAACGCCTCAACGCCTCAAGTCCCCTCTATTAGTTTCACTTCAAGCCCAGCTGCCAAAGTCGAAGACATCTACCCCGTCATCTGCGTTTCACCATCATAATAAGAGCATTTGCCTTGGAAAATCCGGGTTCCTACAAGCATGGCCCAAAAACAGATTCCCGTCATTTCTCTCAAGAGTACGTATATTCCTGCTAAATCCAGCTGTGTCAACATACTTGCGCCCTTGTAGGCTTTGACCGCCGAAAAGAAGAGATCACGAAGCAGCTTCTTGAAGCTGCCGAGGTGACTGGATTTTTTACCCTGGTCGACCATGGCATCACTATAGATGAGATTGAGGCTCAATTCCGAGCTGCCGAGAATTTCTTCAGTCTACCGGCCAAAGTCAAGGATAAAGTCCGTCATGATCCCCGGACCAACAACGGCTGGGAGTACAAAGTGCGTCGCCACCCGGAGCAACAACTCATCAAGACCCGCTGATGCTAACAATACACATGAGTCTACAGGCTCAGCTGCGTCCCAGTACAGGCACCTACGACCAGAAAGAGTCTCTGTGGTTGATGCGCGGCTCACATTGGCCCAGCGATCAGGATGTGCCCAACTTTCGCGGAACCACGGCGCAATTCATGGCCAAGTGCGCCTCCATTTCTGGCCAAGTCTCTACGTCGGCATATTCCGTTTCTCACGAGCCAAACCGTGTTCATGATATACCGCTGACATGAAGCCGCACAATGGAGTGGCCTGCTTTTCATCAGCTCTAGGTTTCGACGAAGACTACCTGGTGACGGCCAACGATCCCACTCAGCCCGACTTCCTCAGCCAGTTGCGACTCCTCCATTATCCGGCGGCAGACAACGCCTCGGGCACCTGGAGGGCCGGTGCGCACACAGACATAGGATGTCTCACGGTGCTGTTCCAGCGAGACAAGCAAGATGGTCTGGAGATCTGCACCGGCCGAGAGTCACACACTGGTTTCGACGTGGGCCACTCGTCCACACCCATACCGGCTCACACAGGGCCGATTGTGGTCAACATTGGCGACATGCCAAGTACGAAGAAGCCCCAGCCTCGTGATTCCCTTCCTCAACACAAAAAGGTCGCAGCGGACTGACTGCTACCGCATTCTGACAGTGGCGTGGTCCGACGACCGTCTCAAGTCCAACTTTCACCGTGTACGTGCCAGGGAAGTTGGTTACTCGCCGCCGCGGTACTCAATCGCCTACTTTAACCAAGCTCGTCGTGGCTTTATTGTACAAGGCCCCCGAAAGAAGTAGTAAGTTGCACTGGATCCCGGACATATGTGCGTCTATATCTGTAGTAACGCTGAGGTATAATTTTATGCAGCCCCCCTGTTACCGTGGACGAGTCCTTCAAACAGGCTATTGAACGAAATTTTGGACAAGACCCGGCGAAATCTTGACATCAATTTCACAGGTTCTGCACTGAGGTGGAGTGGTCGTATGCAGTTTGTCAGCTCACGTCACTTATATGGCGCAGACGTTGATACTGCCTAGTCCATGTACTCTAAAATCTGAGTTGTTCGAAGAAGGTCTATATAGTTATACCATGTCCAATAGTTTGGTCCAACTTATATGAGGCGTTTGAGCTCTCATAACACGCGCTTAAATCGAATGGGGCATCCCTTAGACATTGAGCCATAGATTTAAGGACCATGCATCGTTGCTCGCCGTCAGATGTCTCCGGACTAGAAAGGTGGGCGAGTAAAGCAGCAAAGTTGGAGGGAGGTGAGACACTCACACTTCCCATTCTGCGGGGCCAAAAAATACAGGCAGTTTTCTTGAGTCCCCAAGAAGATTCATCAGAGTGGTCAGCCGTCTTGCCTGTCTCGTCACTGAAACTCACTACCAGAGTCGACTTCTGCCAAAGGACGACTCACAGAACTGGAGAGTCGCTTGGAAGTCGTTCAAATAGTCCCATGACTGATTTGGGTCCCCAAGTCTCTTTGGCGTCATCACCGTAGTAGTGCCGGATGACTTCCTGGCGAGCTGGTTTTCGCCTATCGTACTGAAACGGAGGATCTAAGTAGATGACACCAGCTACGAGTGGAGATGAAGGGTCTCTCACACTTTATACGGGTCTCCTACATGGAATGGGTATGGTCAGGTAACAGTGTTGATGGGCACGTTTGGGCTTACTAGCGGCATACAGGTTCATGGCAATGTGTGCGGCGCCAGACGAGTGGCCGAAGAGAATGACCCTATGAGGGCAGCCGCGTCCATACTTGGGAGAAGAAACATTGGTGCAAATCCACTCCCTCGCCCTCTGTATGTCTTCTGACCCTCCTGGATACACAAAATTAGGGGCTAGTCGGTGGTTCCCAATGATGGTCATGATTCCACGGCTGGCCAACATGTACCCAATGTTGGCGTAACACTAAGAGCCGGGTTTTGAATCAGCCGCTATTCTCAGAGAATTTTGACAAGGTCGTCACACCTCGTCGCTCTAGCGTTTATGTCGAGAACGCTCTGGACCAGGTGGAACGTAGACGTCCAGCACGTCCCTTTCTGCTGGTCCGTATCGCTGGTCCCTCAATACTCGCATATCCTTGGGAAACTGGTAATAGAGAGGCTCATAGAGTTGGAGGTATTTCTTAATTCATGACAGTTTGTGCGATTATTCTCTTCATCATAGCTTGCTAGCCAAGAATTTTTGCAGGCTCACCTCACCCCGTGGTAAAAAATTGCAACCGTCTTGGGCGATGACTGCATAGACGGCTTCCATGAAGGTCGCTATTTGAATGACACAATAGGCTACAGGCAACTAAGAGTAGTGCTTGGCTCTTGGTCAATATCTGCAACTGGAATATAATATGTCCTGGTGGCTACGCGGAGGTGTCGCGTCAATAGGACACAGGCAAAGAGAAACATGAAGTTGAAAACCACTATCAATTAAAGAATATGATATGATCATTTTACTCAACAAGCCGAAACTATCATATTTCAGTGCCTCTCTTGGAATTCACCTCAAGCTTGCCCTGATTCGTGGTGATGCCCTTGAACTCGGAGCAAGTGTCTGCTCCAAGTACTACTCCGTAGGCAATGCAATGTTCCATCCGTGAGAGACAAATTTAACTCTATTCCATTGCACCCGTCAATGCTCACCGTTAGCATAACCCTATATGCGAGACAAGGCTTGGGAAGGGTCGTGGGCAGATCAGGGCGGCATCAAGGTTTAATGTTCTTTTCAGTTATTTGCTTTTTTCTCGACTCTCTGCAGCTCAACGACTTGGCGAGGCTTGAAAGAGCCAGGCTTGACTTGCTCAGATTTGCTTTGTCCAGCCCCGCAGTTGTCGATTCAAAGGTCCCACGACGTCTCTGGGCCCAGCTGTGCAGTATTGAACTCGGTTATTGCAGTCGGGATGGCCAAACACGCCACGCCTTGCTACCCTCCGGTGTCGTGGATTCGAGAGCACAATTTTAGGTTAGTGACATGGTATAGTCACGTATAGTTTACTAGCCGAAAGGTGTTTATAGTATTGAGAGTGCAGTTTTTAAGCAAGATCAGCCAGTGTCAAGAGCATATTAATACATCCCCATCCCATATTCCATTCACTTTAGTCCCTCCTTGTCCCCCTCAGTGTCCCAATGCCACCTATGCATACGGATGCATCGCTAGCCTATTTCCCCTTGACGCTCGCAATCAAATCCGTCACCGACCAGCCCTTCCACTTCAACAGCGCAAAGAACAGCACCGCGATGGTAGACTTTGTCAAAAATCCCGCCAGGCTAGTCACGTCGTTGCCGTTCCTGTCAAATGGCACACTGGTCTTGGCGCCCGTAGATCGCACCATGGCAGCGGCCTTCTTGTCGGTATAGGGCGCGTATCGGACCTTGAGAAGCAACTCCATCCACGCGGGGACATTGACCACCGTTCGCAGGTGCGTAAACTCCTTGAAGCCAAAGGGACCATGGTACGCGCCCATGCCAGACGCCCCGACGCCGCCAAAGGGAGCATCCTTGACGAGCATGTGCAGGATGGCGTCGTTGAAGCACACGCCGCCCGAGTTTGTCAGACGCAGGATCTTGTCCTTGTCGGCTTGTGAGGAGGTGAAGCCGTACAGGGCGAGGGGGTGGTCATGCTGGACTGTGTAGTTGATGGCCTGCTCGAGGGTAGCGTCCAGGATGGGCAGGATGGGGCCGAAGAGCTCCTCGGAGAGGAGTGAGTCGTCGGTGGTGACGCCGTCGACAATGGTGGGTGCGAAGAAGCGCGTCTCGGGGTTGCGGTCGCCGCCGTAGACGATTTTGCCTTGTGTCTTTTCGAGAAGGTTGTCGAGACGCTTGTAGTGGCGCTCGTTGACGATGCGCGTGGCATAGGCTGGCTGCCGGGACTGGCCAGAGCGGTATTCGTCAAAGTACTTGCTCAGGGCGGCGATGAACTTTTGCTTGATGGATGGATCGACAAAGACATGGTTGACGCCGACGCAGATCTACACACTATTAGCAATATGCTCCTTGTCACGTTCTGGACGGTCACACCATACCTGTCCGGCATTCATGAATTTCGCATTTGCAATTCTTTTGGCGGCCAAATCGATATCTGCTGAAGGCGTCACAATGGCCGGTCCCCGGCCGCCCAACTCCAGCGTCACCGTCGTCAAATTCGGCGCGGCCTTGGCATAAATGATCTTGCCCACGGCGGTCGAGCCAGTGAAGAAGATGTGATCCCACTTGCGCTCCAGCAGATAATTCATTTGCTTCGGCCCCGCGGTGACGACTCGAATGGCGCTCTGGTCGAGGTATTTGGGCACAATCTCGGCAATCAGCCTCTCGGACGCGGGCGCCAACTCGCTGGGCTTGAGGATAGTGGTGCAACCGGCGGCAATGGCGGAGAGCATGGGCTCAAAGAGCTCCATGAAAGGATAGTTCCAGGCTGAAATGATGAGGGTTACGCCCTTGGGTTCCTTGCGGATACGCGCTCCGCCCAACAAGTTGAAGGGGTCGGTTCGTCGGGGCTTCTCGTCCTTGGTCCATTCTTTGATGTTGGCGAGGGCTTCGAGGCAGGCGTTCTGGATGCCGGCGACGTCGACGGGGAGGGTTTCTTGACGGTGCTTGTTGAGATCTTGGTTGAGGGCCGTCACGATGCGCTCACGGTTGTCTTCGAGCATCCACCACGTCTTGCGGAGCTGCCTGATGCGCCATTCGAGTGGTTTGGTGGCGTTGGACTTGAAGGTATTGGAGACGGCGTTGAAGGCCTGTGCAACACGTTAGATGGTGGGCATGATGGCAAGGAGAGCGACAGGAGGGAGCATACCTCGTCGACCTGAGCCTCGGAGCTGTACGACATTGTGGACCGTGATGATGCTTGGCCGGTTACACGCGTGTGGTTGCACAGAAGGGGGCGTTATGGCTGCGAGGCGAATTGGTCTTTATTCAGAATCCGAGCTGGCAGACCATGATGCTAGCCTCGACCGCACACACAGTTGGCCCAGCTCCGGCCCATCGAGAAGGACAGGACTGGAGTCAAAACTTCTCCACATGAGACCATGCCTCGGCTGGCTTGGCTTCGGATCGCCCCCTTTGTCTGGATGTCGTCTTCGGCGCCCCCTCTTTGCGCTTGTCATTCTGTAGCCAACCGGGTTAGTGGCAAACGGGAGGAGTCGAGGCGTCTGGGGTTCAATGTTGTGCAGAGATGCCGTTCGGACAGGGCGGCGGCTTGGAGTGTTGTTCCGTCCCCGAATCAAAATGGATCCAGATGACCAATCGTGTGTCGGCCACGCCATGAAAATGACAGACGACCATTGTCTTTGACAGTACGGAGTACTCGGTACAGAGTAATTTGACATTCGATGCCCCTTTGACAGATTCATCCACTAAAAACTACTGTAGCCTCAAATTGCGCTCCACCTTGTCAGCCATAAACCGCAATGGAGTGTTGATATGGCAAACGAGTGCATCTTGACAAAACCCTAACCCTAACATGCCAGCAAAGTGTAAATCTCACCATGGTATATCCTTGTGATTAAATTTCTGACACTTCTATTCCCGTGGTTTTTAAGTGATGATATTAAATGTCGATCAGCAGAAAATGCCTATTGGCACCGATCGTGGAAAGATGTGTCGTTGCAGCCTGGACTGCTCTAGAGGGATGGACTTGTTCACAATAAACGACAACACTGCAACACGTAGAGAGAACATAGCCAGTAGTTGGCCCAAATCCTTGAAACTGTCTGTCTTTGTCTTGCTGCTTGATTTCCTGGCACTACACGCAGTAATTCAGATAAAAATACAACAGGAAGCAGGAAAAGGCTACACTTTCACGTCAACGAGGCTGACGAAGATGACATCATATCCCGGCAACGCACATACAGCCTGTATTAGCATCTACCATCTTATAGGCAGTTGAATATACGACCCCGTGAGGAATTTAATGGCATGTGTTTTAAAGCCCGTGGTTAGCCTATCCAATAGCCTCATCCCGAGTAAGATTACAGAAGGCCTGGGATTGGTGTACTCTGGCTTGTCAAATGGCCGGGCACATTGCACTGCAAGAAGGACCGCCAAGTCTGACATTACTTCTAGATTGCTCTTGTCGGGAGTTCTCAGGCACCATCGCCATCATCTGAGCAATCCCCACAAACCGGCCTATAAGCTTCTACAGAAGCACTCTCTATTCATTCACTGAACGGCTCGGAACTTGTTACTTTAGAGAATAATAAGAGACATTGATGATTGTAGAGCGATAGTACTACCAGAGTCTTATAAACCAGGCATGTCTCGCTTGCAACGGATCCTAGTCAAGTCTCTTCTGAACCTGAAATCAGGTGCACTTCAGGAAGAACTTCTCTCCCTGATTGTTGCTCTTAACAACGGCATGAGTCATAACACCGCAGTACACGATGTTGCCATTGTTGTTCGCATACACGACACGAATAGGAGTAGGGCCGCCAGGCTGCCTGTCGGTTTTCTCATCCTTCATCCACTCTGCTTTCTTGCCAACCCAGTAAATAGGATACTCCCAAAGAATGGCCCCTTCCTTGTCGCAGTTATGAATACCAAAATTGATCTTATCCCCGTTCATGTATCTGTGCGGATCACCGCTTTTGCCAGTTGTAAGACCAGCCTTCTTGGCTTGATCCTCGGCTACGCCGACGTCAACTTTAAATTTCTTGATTTTGCCAGTCTCAGTGTCCTGGTGAGGTTCGCAAATAACCGTCTAAAGATATTTGTGTCAGCTTTGACTGAAATGCTCTAGGAATCGATAATCGCAAGACCATAACGTACATCAGCCCGGGTGACAGGGCCGGCGAGGGCAGGAGCATTCAGGGCTGCGACAGCCAAAAGAGCAGCAAGAAACTTCATGGTGTTGAGTATATCGATGTCAGTAAGAAGAATGTTGATGATGCAGGTTATGGCAAGCTGTCAAACCTGTCCGGACTACGAGTGTTTAAATATACGTTGAAAACCTATTTGACTTACAAAGGTCTTCTTCTCAACATGTCTTATCTTTTGCATCTTACGATAATACGCCCGGAAGTAGTGATGTGCCTGCTCCACATCGGCATTTAAGAATCGATAGAATCGTATTATACAGGAGGCATTGCAACTATAGCGTTATGGGATAAAGTTCGATACGTCGTAGGGCAAGATCCACCAATCGAATTGGTGTCTGGTAAACTTTCTGGCCTGCTATATATGGGTTCGGCCTTACCGGAGTGGTCCCTCGTGAAGATTTCGGCCTACGTCCGAACAATAAATCACCGTTATTTCTCCTTTTGAACATCGATCTAGTTTGTACGATTCTTATTGCCCCATCCGATATAGCACAATCCTGGTCTCAGCTGAGCTCGGGCAAGACGTCTTGTCTTGTTTTGCCAGTGTTAATACGGGACGACTCCGCCTCCATAACACGAAGCGCAACCTTCGCGACGCATCAGTAGCGAGGGTGTCAGGTACTATTGGAGAGGCGAAGCAAACCAGCAACGAAGAAATCATCCACGATCCGGGGAGTCGCGGACGTTTCACCTGCATCGAGAAAAATCTGTCGGCCCATGCGGAGCGAAGTCCTATTCGTGGGCAGTACGGTATTTACTCGTCATCATTGGGAAATTGAACACGTTGACATTTTTGATACTTGCATTCCTAGCATCATATTGACAGCTTAAGTCGCCAGTCAAGGCGGATCGCACCAACCAGCAAATTTTGTCCTGCGGCATTTCTTTTACCCCATACAAACTGTACAAAGACACAAGTCATTGCCAACAGATTGCACACAATTTCAACAGCACAAATTGAACCATTTTGGCCGATCGACCATTTCTCTTCCTCTCTTTCTTACCGCCGACGACGGGCGACCTGACAACGTAGCATTGACACCAGCTCGCGAGGCAGAAGGAATCAGAATGGCTGCCGATAATGTTGCCACTCTCGACCCCCGCCTTTTTGACGAGGACGACAACGCCGAGGATCTGTCCTATAAGCAAATTATCAATTCTGTTCTCACCCAGAAGGCAAGCCCGGTGCAGGCCGCGGCGAGAATTGACGACTGGGTGGTTGGAGAATCTAACAGGAGATACAACGAGCTCAAGCAGCGCGAACCTCCATTCAGCCTTACGGATGAAGAAAAGGACAGCATATACCTTGTAGGGCCAAATCCATCCCGGCAAATCTCCATGATTGTCGGAGCTATAGCCAGGGTTTGCTCGGCATATCCCCCCGGCCACCCTGTGCAGGACGCCCTCGTCGGGCTTTTCCAGGCCCTAAAGGCAATGCCAAAGCACGAAGTACCCGATCTCAGCTATGATGAAGAATCAAATGAGCCCTCTTTCGAAAGAAAGCTCGCCCTGTGGCCATTTGGCACCCCATCAGTCGAGTACTTGGCGCAAAAGTTCCAGCGTGAAGCTGAGGGTACGCCATGCTGTTTCCCGTAATCCACTTGGTCTTTATTACTAACTAGTGATATTCACTTCTTGTAGAACTCGCCTACCCATTTTCCGAAGTCGAAACGCCGGGGAGCGAGTTCCAACTGCGCTGGAAGAATCTTCAGGGCTTCATCTCACGACTCACGTCTCTCGATTTGATCGACTGCAGCATTGCTAGCGCCCTGGAATACATTCTGCCTACCCATTACGCATATCCTGACCTGGATAAACGACCCCAGGGTGGGCCAAACAGAATCGAGGCTGATCTCATTGCCGCAGCGCAATGGCTTGAGCCAGACCAGCCTCGTCAGTGGGTATACAACCAATGCAGGAGTACTGCAGTAGGAGATGGGATGCGCCAAATATGGAGCATGGATAAATGGAACCTTTTCAAGGAACAGCTGTCATTCTTCAGCTCGGATGAGCGATTCTCGCAGGAGACTCGGCGCCTGGCGGAATCGCTGCGGGAGAAGATGGAAACGCAGGGGTAGAACAAAACTTAAATCCATCACGTACGATACAGATAACAGATTAAGTGCATATAAAATGTGTCAGCTAGTTACTCCACATCTTTTTCCGTATTGATAAAGACTCGTTTGATAGTTCTCGCGTGTTATTTTATCAGTGTCCGGTGTACGTACTATAGTTGCATCTATATATAGCAATCTATCGATAGTCTCGTATCGCCGTTCCCCCCTTGTAAAAGCGCAATCGGTGTCCCTCGTCGATATCGCCGGTTGGGATTCAGGGACACAGCCCGGCAGAGGTCGAAAAAACATGACCAAGCAAGGCTGTACAACCTACTTGATCAAGCATGTCACTCGACTACATGTAGATCTTCCAATAACGGCCAGGGCGATCGCAACACAGCCAGCTCCTGGCCCCTCTGCTACACCAGGTCCAATTGATTCAATGTTGCTTTTCTACAGAGTAATGGGCCATATTCAAGAAGTTCAGCCAAGGTGCCCCGCCGGAGTCCGCAGACTACATATGTATGTATGTCAGAATAGCAGTTAACTCCTTCATTGAGACCCCTTTCTTCTGGAGTGAGGCGTCTCCGATACCGGCAAGATGTCAGGCCACATTGAGAGAAGGTAGCCAAGAGGGCGCGCTCATAAGCTGGATATCGGGGATATTCTGCTGAGCTGCATCATTTTGCCCCGTGCTTAGTGGTTCCGATAACTACTCTGGCATGATGCTTCAGGACCGGCGTTTAGCTTTAGTCTTCTCAAGTAGTTTAATTGTCCGGGTCATTCTTTATGCTTTGTAAAAGTGATTAAGTCTGAAATCTCCCAACTATTGCTTTTATAGCAACTTGGCACGCGGACGGCCTCTCCATATCCTTCGACCTCCCTGCGCGCATATGATCGAGAACTTGCAACGTAGTTAGCCAAGCCAGCAAACGAGATTGCTCCCTACCATTGCGCGCTTTACGGTACTCTAGACGTTCTAACGCGAGTGTGCATTCCAGTAAAGCCTCATAAACCAACTCAGCGTTCGCATGGCCGTCCAGAATATTCCCAACCTCGGCTACTTCGTGTCTCCGATAGGTAACCCTCTCGGCGACAGTTGAAGCTGGCGCTATTTTCTTTTTACTCCCACTGTTGGTGGTTTGCGATACCAAAAATCGAGAAGCTCTTTTACTAGCAAAGCCGCTCGTGTCTCATCAGTAAAGTCTTGCTCCTCCACAAGTCTTAAGATGACTTGGCTTCGATTATGCCAAGCGAATAGTTTGACACGTCGCCACGAATCATCTTGTCCGTGTATGCGAATTCGTCTTCAGCCAAACCTTTCCCACCCAGCTTGTGGCTTTCAAGCTGCGCCACCATCAGCCTTGCGTAGCCCCAAGCGTGGGAATTGCGACGATCCCTACCAAATAGGCCAGATGTGAGACTGAGCTCTAGTTGCCGGATTTCGCGCGGGGTCGGAACAGACAGCCAAAGATTCGTTTGCGTTGAATCCACCGCCGGTATTCACAGATCCAATAGCACTTGTGTGCCGGCTTAAGAAGTGGTATGAGAAAGGTGAGCTCGGATTCTAGCATACTTGTGTCTGAACCTTGGCAATTGCTCCGACAGGCATCCGGCAGCTTTACGGGTGCATTAGATATGTATGGGTCGACTCTTTGAGACAGTAGGCTAGAGAGGAGACAATAGCGACCAGTTGACGGATATGCCTAACCGTGTACTCCGCAGTACTCGGAGTCTAGAGAGGGTATGTCTGTGGTGAGCTGGAAGAGCCGTGAGTCGTGGATTTTCGAGGCAACACAGCTGCGGATTTGTGTTCCCAACACCGACCTTGTAAGAGGGCATCATGAGGTAAGGGTGGTTCTACCTAGGGTCAGGGTTATTGGAGTTGGGAAGGGTTAGACATTGCTAATTAGCCTAGCCCAGGACAAGGACGTGAGCAAATACTTACATGTAGACTTCCCACTGTAAAAACCTAGAGTTTACAAGGGCACTAGCCGGGCCAATGTAACCACCTCCTGGGCGTTGGTCTCCCTCATGTCAAAGCGTCAAGTCAATCGACTCTGTGATACAGGGGGTCTCGTGATTGACCAAACCTGGACTAACTTAGCTAAGGCTGTGATTCCCGGCATTCGGGTCAAAAAGTTGAGGTCAAAAGAAAGAACCCAATTCCGGGAATCACCGCCGACAATTTCCCTAATGGTTGCGGCATGAGTCAACAGCAGGGCTTACTTGGTATAATTGGCCAGTCATCTTCTTGTCACATTCGAATTCGTCAAGTCAGTTGCCCCCCTAAATGCCTTTTCGGACAGCGCTGTACTACATTTCACCGCAACTGACGCCCCTGACCGGGGTATTTATTTGTGACATGTCAAGGCATGGGGATGTAATACCTCACTTCGATAATCATATATCTGCTTTGAACGTCCACCTCGTTGCGGTGCAAGATTTGTTTAGTTGTGTTTGCCGTACCGAGTCAGTCCAGGTATACATGTTAACTTTCTTTCCCCGTTACAATGCCAGACACAGTCCATCTTCTCCTCACCCTTCTTCAAGTTGTCCAGACGTCTATAGTACCCATAACACATGAAGCCATTTTGCTGGGCAACCCGCTTTTCGGGGCGGCCATCCTCTCTCGCTCCAACCTCCAGCCGCTCACCGTATCCACGAACAACGGGACCGTCTCGCCACTGCTGCACGGGGAACTGAATTGCATTCAGCAATACTTCACCGTTACATTTCCCAACCGAGCTTGCCGGCCGAACCCAGGCAACGATACGATATTCCTCGCGACTCACGAGCCGTGCAGTCTGTGTTTAAGCGCAATCGCATGGGCCGGCTTCCACGAGTTCTATTACCTCTTTACTCATGAGGAATCCCGCGACCTGTTTGGTTTCGGGGGAGACATTGACATCCTCGAACAGGTGTTCCGGGTTCAGGGACACGAAACGCAAGACCAAGTACGGCATCGCGCACTCTACAACCGAGATAATAATTACTTTAGCGGGAGGTCAATTGCAGACATGATAGAAAAATTAGACAATGCAACAGCAAAAAGCATGCTGGCAAAAAAGATGCAGGACGTGAAAGGCATATATAATGGCCTGCATCAAGAATGGCTCAATGTAACGCACGCCAACCAGAGCAGCTCGACTAGCTAAGTCGGCGCTATCAGATGAGATCAGAGGCTGGGTGATAACTAAACAATATCACGGGAGGGAATTCGCATTCCATGCTAGGCGCGGAGGATAAATGCGAAGACTCACAAGACTACCTAGGTAGTTGGTGGAAATTAGGGACCCCTCATTTTGTTTGACAATGTAGTTCTATTGACTGGATAGCGATCGGCTTGTTACATTGAATTGAAGCATATATTACGGGAAATGCGAGGCAATGATGCTTGTCAACATCCAGTGACGGAATAGTAGCATTCCAACCAAAGCTAGGTGCTGGTTTGTCGAAACGATTGCAACGCTGGTGAATCCACTCCCAATAGCAACAGCTGGTATGATGCCAAGAGAGTTTCATTAAAGCTAAGGAGCTAAAGTCAGGTGCTTATCGGCATTTCGGTCAATCAAGTACCGGATCGTCTTGAGAATGGCCCTGGTCTTGTCAAAACAAGTGCGGGACAGACTTTCAACTCAAATAAACTTTGTGATAAAAACACGGTGCGTCAATCGCCCGGCATTATCGGCCCCAATTCTGACAGATCCTGTTGGTGAAGGGAAACAGAAAACAAACAATTGGTGATAATGTCACCGAGGTTCGATTAAACAACGATTCCTCCTTAACTTGAGGAGAGTTAGAATGTTATGCGGGTATTTATGTCGAATAGTATTCGCGGCTGGCTATAATGATGTTTAACACAGCCAACAGAGGGTTAGTCAATAAGCCTACAAGTCTTCAATGTCAGCCGCAGGATGCAGGCCTTCGCGCCTATGCTTTCTGCACATGTTCTTGAGACATGGGTGAATACGCGGCTCCCACGTGATGCATAAGGCCAGGCTTTATGTTGGAATAAAAAATAAGACTTGATTAGCTGGGAGTTAAGTCAGTGATACGTTACAGATATCGACCAATAATCAAATCAAAAGCAAAAAAGTGAACTTCGAATCGTTGACATGATAGTGTTGAAAGACAAGGACTAGTATGCTATCTAGAGAGAAATTCTGCATAGCTTGCACTCGCCTCTTAACTCACGATTATCAAGTTCCGGTGAACCTCTTGTTTGTTCTCTTACTGATGCATTAATGCTGTGCTGACTATTTTCCCCTACATGTTTTGGTCCGCCACGGGATCGCCTTCGTGGTTAACCCGGCCTCCAGCTTAGATAAAGCCGGCCACATTGTAGCAACATGTATGCGGATGAAAAAAGGCGTGCTACAAATCTTGGCTGAGTTGCCCTCTCGTCTCTCATGCAAAGATTCTTTCTGAATTGCTCAAGATAGGACACCTACCCTAGAATGAGAATACAGATTCCCCGCGTCGTGTGCCCAACAACAACGCGATAGGAACGGCGCTGCCGACCTCGCACGATGGTGACGATGGCCAAAAAAAGTTAAAACTGCATAATGACGTAAAGAGTACCTTATTTGCTAAATTCACAACTACCGGGTGACGTACGCCCACATTATATGCAGACCATGTAGAAATCAGCCTCGGAAGGGGACTCAACAAGCCAAACCTTGGAGGATGAACTCCACCACACCACGTGTAGATTGTGCTTGGAAAAGGTTGATAGGTGGGGTTAGACATGAGCAGTCCAAACAGTTCATCAGGTCTAATCACGATTTTACTCTCTGCAGCCCTATCCACGGGTTTTGTGAAGCATAACACGCACGGACACGGTTCTAGAAACCTGAGACGGCGTGTGGTGGGGAGCCCGGCTCTTCAATTTCCAACGGTCGGCCGGGCCGAATGGCAAATAGTAATTGCTGAATGTGGTAACAATCCACGCACGGAGGCCAATGTGATTGGCAATCTTGTGGAAGAGCCCATAGCTCCCTGCCAAGCACTTATAATACCGTGAGATCTGACCGTTCGTGTTCATGTTTCAGCCAGTCTTGGCACTCTGGCTTTGCAAATGTTCCGGGCAAACAAAACGTGTAAAGTTATCCCGAGATCTGAATAGTCACGGGGATGAGAGATTGTTGGGGACAAGAAATGAGCAATTCCGTAGTATTGGGTATATGAGAGGTTTTGTCAACTGACATGATGCTGCGGGTTTCGGGTTACCGAGTGTTGTTTTGGTATAAGCTACCAGAGGGGACTACGCTATGATCAACACCACCCAGCGAACCAGCGAAATACGGATCTCAGAACTCAAAAGGACTCGACGGAATTTCGGAACTACATTCCATCCTCATCAGGCACTCCATCGCCATTTGAACGGTATCGTGAACGGTATCGAGTCTCTTAGCGAGACATGCCACAATGACCACAGCGCTCGAGCATCACGAGTCAGTCCTCAAACGAAACACCCGTTCGCAAAGTCTAACCGGGGTAGGCATGTTCCGAAAATCTATCTGCCGTCAAGTTCCATTTCCGACCTAACGCCGTACCCCGCGTGGGTCTCTCAATCCTCCGTTGAAGAAACCTTTGGTGACAGGGATCTTGTTTTATCTTTCGTATATACATACAATTTACCCTGTTGAAAACTTTTCGAGAAGTCCATGCGGAAGAATGTCAGCTGAGGTTGGGGCAACGGCTCCGTTGTCACTAGCTTCGGCGCGTTGTTGCGCTGACTCGTGGCCTCGACGGATAAGCGATAGATGAGTGTATATACTCCGATGGAATCCAAGGCTACAACTTATTATATAAACGCTGCACTTGCGACAAGTCTCAATGCTCTGAACCTTGGACTTGCAGGTAAACCCAAGTGCCAACCGATACAATGCGCTATCAGTCAATTACCCCCATCCTCTTCGCCCAATATGTGGCATCTGCAACTATACGTCCAAGTCCAAGGACGATTCCAAGTCTAGACTCGGCTCTCGGGCTGGGGCTGGGTCCAAGACAGTATGATGAGCCATTCTCAGAGCAGCTGTCTCCTGGGTCATTTTCTCCTGGGCCGTCATCGTTTTCCGGGCCGTCATTTCCTGACCAGTCGCCTGCTGGGCCGTCATTTCCTGGGTCATTTATTCCTGATCAGTCGCTCCCAAGCCAGTCGCTCCCACGTCCAGATCAATCATCTCCAAATCAGCCGTTTCAACCAGAGCCGTTTCAACCACAGCCGTTTCAACCACAGCCGTTTCAACCACAGCCTATTCCCGTAGAGACACGTCCAGATGAACGGCCCTCAAATAGGCCGCCTCCTGCGGATCCGTTTTCTGTGAACCCGTTTCTCGTGGAAACACCCGCAGAGGAAAAACCCCCAACGAAGCCCGCCCCCGCGGAGCCATTTCCCGTGAAACCGCTTCCTGAGGAATCAGTTCCAAATCAGCCATATCCTGGACAGCCATTCACGCCGAATCCAGAACCAACATTACCAGAGCCAACTTTGCTGCCCAAGCCGGAGCCGGAGCCGGAGCCAGTATTCACCTTTAGTCCAACTACAATCTCAAAACCCCAGCCGAAACCAACTTTCCTACCAGAGCCAGAGCTAGAAACACCCCTCATGTCGACCACAACGCAAATTCTGACGCCGGAGCCGGTCTTTACCCTAAAGCCAATTACAACCCTGCCTCTAGAGCCAGAGACAGAATCACCTCTCAAGTCAACCACAACGCAAACTCTGACGCCGGAGCCGGTCTTTACCCTAAAGCCAATTACAACCCTGCCTCTAGAGCCAGAGACAGAATCACCTCTCAAGTCAACCACAACGCAAACTCTGACGCCGGAGCCAGTTTTTACCCTAAAGCCAATTACAACACTGACTCTAGAGCCAGAGACTTCCTCTACATCGAAATCAACTACTACTTCAACAAGTTCAACTACAACTTCAACAACAACCTCAACTACGACATCCTCAACTACAACTTCAACAACAACCTCAACTACGACATCCACTACAACCTCAGCTACAACCTCAACTCCAAATCCAGTGGCACAGCCAACTTCACAGCCAGAACCAAAAGTAGTGGTTGTCGACGTTCTTCACTCTGAAAACCGCGAGGTGGGAATACCGTTCCAGCCAATGATTTCCATGGGTTTCGGCACCCCATCCCAAGTCATCACGGGCGTCTTGGACACTAGTTCCTCAGATCTGATTATCCCCAGAGCGGGCAGCGCGGCGTGCAGACTCGCAAAGCAGCAGTGCCAAGGATCAAACGTTGCCCTGGGGGACTACGAACCCTCCAAAGACAGCGATGTCAGGAGGGTGCCGAATTCGGGGTTCGCGGCTGGGTTTCAAAATGGCGACGCGTACAACGGGCCGTACATCAGCACGTCCGTGAGCGTGGGAGATGCCAAGATTAAGGCCGCGCAGGTTGGCTTGGCAGTCAATGGGAGCGTGTCGCAAAATTCGGCCCAATATCCCATTTTCGGCGTCGGGCCCGTGGACGCCGAGCAGACGGTCGACAGCGCCAAATATGCGAATCTGCCTCAGAAGATGAAGGACGTGGGCTTGATCAATGCAAACTTGTTTAGCGTTTGGTTCAACCCTACACGTGAGTGAATCCCCGAGTTGCCCCTAACCATCATTAAGCTGCATATGGAGATGCAGCGCCGGTCATCAAGTGGTTGTAGCTAACGGGTGTTCGTGCAGCCTTCGCCAATGGGTCTGTTATCTTTGGAGGAATCGACAGCACCAAGTTTACGGGCCAGCTCCAGACGGTCCCAATTGAGCGAGACAACTCTGGAAAGATTTCCGGCTTTGTCGTCCGACTGAGCTCTGTCCAACTATCTATGAGTGGTGCGCGTGGTGGGCAGCGCAATGGTCGCCCGCGAAACCGTCAATCAACGTCTATAGATCTGGGACTGGGCCGAAGTGAAGGGTTCACCTCGATGAACACTGGCTCTTCCTTTATTGTGATACCCAGTGCTTCCATGGAAAACCTAGCCAGAGCCCTAGACACCACGTTTTCGGAGAAGGACGGCTTGGGACTGGTAAACTGCCAGCTAGCATCGGGCGATAACAGCTTAATCTTTGGGTTTAACCAAGGACGGACCATGCTTAGCGTGCCGCTGGCCAGAACTGTTATTTCCAAAGAGATTTCAAAGACTTCACAGACTGGCGGTTGCGCGCTCGCCATCGCCTCAGCTGGCCAAGATAATGCTGTCAACGTCATGGGCTACCCCTTCATGTCGGCGGTATATACCGTGTTCGACAGGGACAGTGAGAGAATGATGTTTGCACAAGCTGTCTGAAACTTGAAGGAGGCAGCTGTCGGAGTAAAGGTCTTCTCATAATCAAAAGTTTGTAATTTTATTGTTCTACTATATTGCTGTATAGTTCTTCTGGGTTATAACCGGGGGTGGGCTAAGATACTAGAGCAAAATAAGCATATAATATAAAGAAGTGTTTAGATAAGTGTACCGATTATTAATCGTTGAAATTTCTCTCTACTCGCTTTATTATTACCAAGATCGTAAAAATAAGGTGCACATCCTCATTAGATCCGACTCCAGGGCGTTCCACACAGACCAATTTTTCACTGGAGTACACTCATTGTTTCTCCGACTATTAGTGCTTGTTGCAGTACCAAAGTGGTGTGGGGGCATCTTCAAAAGTTATGAATGATTGAATTGCTGGTGTTACACGGAAATAGCCCAATGTGAAAGGTTACACGAGGGATACTATCACAAGACTAGGGCAAAGTCCATCACGAGACTTTTTGTATTTAAAGACCCCTTTAGTCAACGAGACCTTGAGGAAAATCAAGGACCTTTGATACCAAAGACAGTTATTAGATGAATTGAGTCATGTTTCTCCAAGCCTTTAGCACTTGTCACAGCCTGGGCCTTTGACTCGTAATTGCCCAATGCCGACTGTCAGTCATGCAAACTGAATCATGACCAAACATGAATCAAGCAGTCCGCATGTATATATCAATTACTTTAATGGCATACAACTCATGTCCCCTCTCAATACCAGCATTCGACCAAGAATGCAAATATATCTGTACGGAAGTCCGGTAGTTTCACCGACGGTGGCAATATCCAAGGCAAGACGACGAGTTTGAAGTGTATAGACAAGCACGCAACATGAAAGCTCGGCACAACTATCCGGAAATTGCTACGTAAGCACTAAAGAGTAGAAGAGGCTTCATCAGTGGAAACTGGACTATAGAAACCCGTTAAGTGGGCCAAGAATAGACAGGATGTACCGCACGCCTGCACTCCAGCACCCGCTAAGCGCCATGGAACATTTGTTCATCGTCCAGGAGAAAAGGCAGATTTCTGCGGCCAGACCTTTCGTCCCCTCCGTGTCAGGCCGATCTCTCGGATATTAGTAATCGGCATCACGTTGCCGGAGACCAAGAAGGCAGTGCGCAGGGCTGCCCCAAACACATTCCCTGGTGCCGACGGTATCATCAATCATTCTCCCCATCCTCAACAAATTGTTCAATAACTGTCTCTAATCAGGATAATGCTCCTAACATTTCAAGGAGGCGGTCACCGTAGTCCTTTGAAAACAGGGCAAATATAGCTACGCACTACCCAAATAGTACAGACAAATTGTCCTACTTAATACTCTAGGTAAAGTGATGGAAGCCACATGGCCAACCGTCTTACCAACCTAGGCCATGTTAATTATCTATTACCAAGCAGACATAGCAGAGGCCGAAAACTTACATGGATATAACACGTCTTACGCTTCCCTCTTCAACAAGTATTCCAGGCATGGTCCGAAGGTAAAGTATTCTCCTTGCTGCTACTTCACGCTTGTGACAAGGGCTTGATATCAAGGACTTACAACGGAAAGGTTCAATTCAAAGACAATCGAGTAGGATATCGAAGGTCCTTGGTTTTCTGAGAGGAAGGAAAGGGATAATAACCACTATATATACATGAAAGAAACGGCTATACTCGCGGGTCTTTTCCGGCACGTGTTCAATTTGTGTGTAGCCAATAGGTCCTTTGTCGGTGAGGCGATATGTTCGGCTTCACGATCTGTTGGGCTTTTTCCGTGTAATAACGCTTTAGGAGCTTATAATCATATGTCCCATGAACGATTACTACACAACGTTCGCAAATGTCGAGCGATTAAGGAGGATTTTACATTGGGTTGCGGCCCGTGACATGCCATAACGGTTCGGGAAGTATATCTATAAGAGGTATTCGATTGTCCACGTCTTATAAAGGAGCGAAATAATACAAAGTCTGCATGTAGAAGAGTACAAATACCTAAAACGAATAATTCGGGCTTAATGTCACCCTTACATAGTATCTATACTGTCGTCTCAGCCACTCTCTACACACGATGACTCTATACATATTCGTTCTCACGAATATAGTCCACGATGCTCGTCCTCTTCACATCGGGGCACTTGGCCGCATCAACAGGCTCAAACGCAGAAACGCTCGATCCGCCAAACGTGTACCATGCATACTGCAGCCCGACAAACTCGGGCCACTTCTGCCGCAACTCTCCTTTTCTCAAACTTTCAGCTCGCATTCCACGCCACTGCCTCTCGCATTCGTCAAGCCCCATGACTTGAGTGACATCTACTTTCCCGCCGCGGACCTTCTCAAACGCAGCTGCTAGCTCATGAAACGTGAAGCTGTCGCTGCAAAACCGATTAAACCCACCAGTCTCGCCGTAGTCGCCCGTTATAAGCGCGACGCTGAAATTCGCCGCGTCCGACTCGGAGCAATAGTTCACGCGGGCGTTGCCGTCGCCCATAACGCGTACAAGTCGAGTGCCGTCGGTGTTTCGGGCCCAGATAGCATTCTCCCCTTCCATGGCACCTGCGCCCGGCACACCGAAGAGAGTGTTGGCGAGGATGCCCACCAGAGAGTAAGTAGGGCGGATGGTGCTGGTCAAACGAGCGTGGGTCGCAAAGATCAACATGCTGTCGTATGTCTCGATCTCGCCAAGGGGAAAATTCTCCCAGTCCAAGTTCCAACTCGAGGCGTGGAAACGCTTTATACCCGCTCGCTCGGCGGCACGTAGCAGCTTGAGTTGCGCATCGACAATCAACTCTGCTTTAGGCGCCCATGTTGAACGTCACAGCGGAACA